TAAAACTTTGTCTTCAAAATAAGGGTGCGTCTTATATTCTGAAAAGTACGGTACTTCATCAATTTTATATATAGTTACAAAAATATGCAAGGATCCTGACAATGAATTATTGTCCTAGGTGGAGTAAATTCTTTGTGTGATGGTTAAAAGGTGTTATTATATATATATATATATTGATGCAGAAAATATGTTTAATATTAGAAGGTTGAATTTTAATTATTCTCTTTAATAAGGTCTATCAACCTGAAGTTTTTTATAGAATGTTGCTGGTTATATATCAAAAAGCTTTGAGAGTAAGAGAAAGATAATATGTGAACTTCATAGGCAGATATATCTTTTTTTTGTCTAGACTATACTATGAGCTTATTGACCTTGAACCTGTTTATATTTAGCATATCTTGACTTTAGAGAAACTCTAAAAGAACTTTTAGCCAAAGACAACTTTTTATCAATGGTTTTGAACTTCACGTTTTGGGTTATTAGTCACAATGATACTTTTTTTCTTTGTTCTATTTTTAATGAATTATCAAAGGAATTAGTATTAGTGGAATTATCTTGAGTCTTGTATATACCAATCACAGTCAGAGAATTGTCTCCAGAAGTGTGCAGAAAATCCTTCTTGCATTTAGAGTTATTAGGTATTTTAGGCAAGGGTGTGTTTTCTGACGTCAAAAGAGAGGTATTTTTAGAATGGAATGGCTTTGGCACTTTGTTATAATCTCTTACTTCCAGATGTTCTTCATATCATCACAGATGTTGTTATAGTAACACGAGAAAGTTAACTCTGTCATTGTTTATTTTATTGTTGAGTGAAACATTCTTTGGACAAGCTGATGCAATTAATATTTATATGACTTGTCATGTAGTTTCTGGAAATATATCACATAATATACCTACATCTAAGAGATCTCTTACTGCACAATAATAAAACAGCTTGTTAATGATGTTGTTCATTGTCTTATATATTTACATCTGTGTTTGAGGATATGAACCAGTGGTTCTAGGTTGATTGTCATTCATTTGATTTAACTTTCCGAAGTACAGAGTAAAAGTTACTGGCTTTTTGCCAGCAGCCAGTTTTTATTAGGCTCATTTGTATAGAGCAGTCACCTGGCACCACTGTCCTGACAGTAGGGGAACTGTTCTTTATTTATAGACTCTTCCATTGAATGGCTTATCACACAGTCTGATGCTGTCTAATAAGTTAACATGTTTGGATTGTTCAGAAAACTTCACTCTGCAGGCCACCCTGAATTGGGTGTTTGTTAGAATGTTTCCCACCACAGTATGAATGAGAATTCTTGATAGTTCAGCTATCCAAAATAAATTCATAAAAAATGACATCATGACATAAGTAATTATTATTTTTTCATTGTTTTAGTTTGAAGATTGTTAGTGGATTGTCTTCTGTGTGTGTGTGTGTGTGTGTGTGTGTGTGTGTGTGTGTGTGTGTGTGTGTGTGTGGCTTTTTAGTAAATTAAAAAAAAAATAGATTTTGTATTTCTTTTTGCTGCTGGTTTGTTTTATCTTTTTAATTTACAATTAAAGGACCATTTCTTATAAGTATCTGTGTTAAAGATTGTGTAGGCAAATAATCCCTAAAAAAATTAATGTTAATCAAAGAAGGTTCTTATTTTTTCACTTCTGATTATTTAATGAATATGTCACTAAAAATACCTAGGTATGAAATAACAGATCTACTACTTCCTATTAGCTAAGAGAATCTCCTGTAAGTTGTGTGGCTTTTCATGCTATTTTTACAAAACAAACTATACTATCTGATTTTTGAGTTAGCTTGCTTTCTCCATTTCTTACAATAGTATAAAATGTTTAAGAAATATGATAAGAATTATCAAAATGTATTTTAAATTTGTTTACTGTAATTTAGACTGATATCATGTGGCTGTTAGTGGCAGGGAATTGACATTGATTGTATAGTAACTTTACAGTCACATCTAAAGAAATGTGCATGTTTTTAAAACTAATTTCTCCATATCAGTTTAGATAACAGAATTTTTCCTTAAGAAATTTTGAATTAGTTTTTGAAACTATTATTATAGGAAATACAATACTTTGAGTATGTATTATTTTTATGGTTAATTCCATTTGTCATCAACTTTGTTACATTTTTTTTGAGAGCTTAAATAGATCAGTTTGATTTGTTTTTTTCACTTAGTTATTTAACATTATCATTTGAAGCTATGTTTTTTATGATTATAGAGAAGATAGTTTTAAGTACCCCTTGTTTTTATTATATTTGGTCATCAGCTTTGCTACATGTTTGAAAGCTTAAGTGAATCAGTTAGGAAGACTAGAAAGTTATGATGAGTTGATTTTAATGAAATTATAGTTCACATTTATCCATTTTCTCTTTATTTAGCCAATATACATAAGAATAGCAAGTTCTTGTTAACCTATCTCCAGATGTAACTAGACTATCAGAAATGGACAGTAATTATCATTGGTGAAAGAGGGGTTTAAAAATATTGTAGTAGTATGAATTGTACGAGTTTGACCTGTCTTGTTACAGTGCAGTGTTTGAAGAGTATCAAACTTCAATTCCACTAACAAGGAATCAGTAATCCAGCTAAACTGCTCTTGGATACAAACATTCCTGAGAAACCATTAGCTTTTGGTGTTAAAATTAGTTTATTTCTAGTATTAATTTACCTGTAAGCATTGATTAATGTCACACAAAATAATTGGTTAACTAAAATTACAATTAAATGGATCAATGTCATAAAAATTGTCGGCTAGTGTTTCCAGTTATTACTATTTTCAATTATTCCAACTATCCAATAATTGAAATTAAGGTTTACAAAATATTTTCATTATGCTTTTTCTGTGTTAAACACAAAGCTATACAATGGGCTGTATGTAATTGGCCCATCAAGGGCTTTGAAACCTGATTTTCAAAATTATAAGTGTTGTTTTTTTGTTGTGATGTCATTTTAAGAATAAATGAATGAGCTTGATGATTAATTACTTAGTTAACAAATTCCATTAATTACCTAGCTCTGATGTCTTGCATAATATGAAAATTCAATCACTAAGTTTAATAGTTAGTTATTGTAAAAGTTCAAAGGTTGAGAATTTTTTTTACCATATCACCAGTCAACTTGGCTTATAGTTTTTATCCTTCACTAACTAAGCAGTTGTTAAATGCATTTGAAATACTAATATTAAACTATTCTACTAAAGTTGGTGAGTTATTGCAATTTTCATGAAAGTTAATATTATTAAAATAGTATTTTTTTTGAATTACATTGTCTGTATCATATTCTTTCATTGAATTTCAGTGTCTTGCTTTTTACAAATAGGTGACACTATCATAAGTTGAGAAAAAAAATTCTGCTCAACAAAATAATTGCTTCCTCATTTTTGGAAAACTGTAGGTCTCAGTGTATATATTTGGACATTTTATTTGATTAGTTAATTAAGATATGTTGGAAGTACTTCTGTTTCAGTTATCATCCATATTAGTTTTTTTATGTTTAATGCCCAGGAAAAACAAATTCAATCACTGTATTGCTATTTAATAAGTACAAATACTTAAACCTTTTCTCTTGGTAGTTGTTAACTAGTATTTAAAACCTAAGGTTATTCTTTAGTCCAGAGCTAATTTATTTATATGTAGTTTTATGTATTATTTCCAGACTCGTATTTACATGTGTTAATACTTATTTTCAGTTATTTTAGTGACTTTTCACTTGTGCCTTATTTCTCTTACTTTTTTGTTACGTTTCTTGCTTCTTTTTTTAAGTGTCATGAGGCACCCTGTGTAAGTTTGAGTGATTGCTCTTTCTTGCAGTCTAAACTGATGACAGCTGTAAGACTGTGGCCAAATTTGCCTTTACTTAGGAATCTTAACAAGAGTGTTGAGTAGACCTCAATAAAAAGTGTTTCAAAAAGACATTTTCAGAAGTCCCACTGACCTAGTTTTCTAAATATAAAAACTTTAAAAACATTTAAGTTAAATCATTTCAAGAAAAAAATGTGAGGGTTATGCTAAAGATGTATATTTAATAGTGTTCAATAATTAGTTCTTAAAATTTATTGTTTTTAAAAAATATTAACCTTCATTATTTCCATTAAGATATGTAAACATTTTCATAAAGTTGTTGCTTTTAGTAGATATGACTGTACTGTTTATCAAATTAGTTTGTATTTTGAATGTAATGCAAGAGAAATGAAGAATTATTCTAATAATTTACTATTTGATTATTTTTTTTAATTCTGTCATTTTTCTAAAAATACATTGTAGTATTATAAATTTGTAATGATTTTTCTAAACTGTTAATACAACATATTTTATCAATTAACATGAAATCATGATCAAAACTTTTCAAATTATTTGTACATTCATACTATTTTGTTTCATTATTGTAATTATTCAGATTTAAAGGGAAAACTTTTTATAACAATTAACTACATTATAAATATAGAAATGTGACATTTAAATACTTTTGATTAGTGGCTTATTGAGAAAGCTATTTATTATTATTATTAGTAGTAGATGTACCAGAGTTCTATCCTATACAAGGTTATTTACATTCATTTAATTACAAGTATATGACATGAGAAACTGATTGGTTTCCTCTTTCATGACAGAGCTTGCCTGTCCATTTGAATTGATTTGTGTATTAGATCAGGATGTTAAATTGTGTTGATGTCCAATAATCTTTACAAGTAAAAATAATTTTTAAACTGACTATAATATATTTGAATTTCAGGTAGAAAATTTACAAAAATTTCAAGAAGAAAAAAGAAGACTTCAAGTGGCTTGTCACTGTTTATCTAGAGAAGTTGATTTATACAATGAGGGGCAGGGTAAGAAATTGTGTAATTCAAAGAAATGGGCACCCACAAATATTGAGGGGGGAGGAGGCAAAACATGTATGTAGGGTATCAGCTTTTACAGTGCAAACTAAAAGAATGTGTTGTGTGCTTAAATGCAAATTTACAGTTTTAATAAAAATTACTAAAAATATTTAGTTTAACCACAATGTTAAGTTTATGTCATAATATGGCCAATTTTTTTGTGAAATGTAGGTGTTTTTATTGTTGTTTTTTCAGTAAATAGGTTATTAATTTATTTATTTTTGATAGATACTTACCTCCTCTCATGTTTCTCACACTTCCTCCCCATTTCTGGTGTGAATTGGTTTAGTTAGTTATGACCAATCTCGCAGTGATTAACATGTGCATGATTAGAAAAGAAAAGAAAAGAAATCTTTAATACGTATATACAACCATTAAACAGTTGGTCTTCTATATAATATTGAATAATGAATTTTACCAATCACTGTAGAAAAACTTGGTTTAATTTTATTGTAATGAAGTGTGGATAGTGGGCATTTGATCATCCTTAATTTTCTATCAGTCCTTTATGTATTTAGGCATTTTTTGATAAAATAGAGGCAGTTTTGTATAACCACATGATCCTTATTTCAAGGAATTTCATTAAACATTCTAAGCATATTTGTTGATCATTAGTTGATGTAATACCATATCAGAATATAACTGAATAATATCAATCACTTGTTCCTTTAATGGCACTGTAGTTTCTAGTAAGAAGTGTATATAATAATATTTCATCTGCACATACTAAATGTCACATGCTGCTGCCAACAAGGCATTTCAACCGGTACCAGAACTCATCGGACTTACAGTATGAGAAGCCACAGCTGAAATGTTATTTATTTTAGGGTTGTGGCGTATAATGACTAGGCTTGCAAAACATGATCTGTTTATCAATTATTTGTGTGATATTACCTTACAGTAAGTTTGATAATAATATTAAAGATTTCTTTCTTTGCTGGAGCTCTGTGGGTTTTAAGTAAGAAGAGAGCATGCATAATAGCTGATGAGGCCTTATGCTCAATACCAGAGTTTGTCAGGTTGACAGGGCTTAAAACTTGCAAATTTATGAAGGAGCTATTTATACCAGTTATTCATGATACAAATCTTGCATGTATGATGCCAAGAGTAGCAAATTACAATCTGTTAATTTGTAGTATGTCTGATATTACATCACCATAAAACTGATGATAATATTAATTGCTTATTTCCTTGCTAGAGATGTATGGGTTTCCAAGTATAATCTTGTCTGTAATGAAGATGAGAATGAAGTGTATAGTGGTTGCTAATGTGTGTGAATGTAGGTATTTGGCACACATTGGGAATACTGACCAGACATGGTTAGGTTTATCATGATTTGTTTTTAAAGAGTGGAAGTAATGAATTACTCACAAGAGTTGAGGTAATGTCAAGGTCTGTGAGCATGGTTGCTGTAATTTTATTTCTTGGTTCCAGATTTGGTCATTTTGCAGACTGTGTACTACTAGTGCTTAAGAAGTCAATAAATAAAGTCACTAGGATGTCAATATCATTATATTCTGTATGTTGTTAAATTTGAGTAAGGAGTGGTATAAGTTTTACGTAGGTCAAGATTACACAGATTAAAATTACACATTACTTATTTTGTGGCAAATTTGATCAAGTTATAGGTTATTTTAGATATAGCTGGGCTTTGGAGGATGAAATATTCCAAATTTCAGTGTTAATAGTTGTTCAGAAGTGTCTTTCTCTTTGTTTTTTCTTTGAAGTTTAGACAAGTTATAGACTTTGGACCTATGAAATGAAAGGTTAGTGGTAAAGACCACACCTGAGGTTAAATTTATTATAAGCCAAATTAGAGGTCTTGGTCCCTAGTTGAACATAAGGTAACTCCAAAGTCAATAAAAACAAACAAGCTGTTTTGTATCTTTTGTTGTCAAATTTCATTAAGGGAATTTATATCAAATTAATGCTCATAAATATTAAAACATAATTGTTGCTCATTTTAAGTAGTAATCTAGCCAAATATCTACATGTAGTTTCCTACCTTACTGGGGTGACTTGTCAGCTAGTTGCCAACTGAGTGAATGCCAGTTCTACTTCCTTTCTTTTGTTAGCAAAGAAAACAACAAAACTTGATATATATGCTGTTTTATCAGGCACATGATGTTACACTGAAATTTATTTTGTAACCAAATTGAGACTTAGAATATCTTTGGATAAAAAACAGTAAGAAAGTTACTTGCATGGATTAAAAGAATTGGAAATGTTAAAATTCAACCACTAGATGATATTGGTGAAGATGATGTACACTTGAAGAGAGGAGAACAGTACCCATAGATAGCCACGATATTGAAATACATACGACTACAATAAACCTAGATATGTGACCTAAAAGAATACAACTTAACAAGCTTTGTGAACAAATTATGGTGTGTATAAATAGAAAATGATTTTGTTAAATGTTAATTAAGTTAAATTTGTTCTATTTATGACAGCAATGTGGGAAAAACTGTTTTTAAACTGTCTCTGTAAGGTAGTATTGTGCAGTGATAAGTAAAGAAATGTGTACAGAGTTCCCTGTCATGAGAGGAATGTCATCTTGATTGAATTTGGCATCTTTAGTTATCATGGACTTTTAACTTTCTTAACAATCAGTATATTTATCAACAATATGATAAAAACTATCTTAGTATTGTACTAGAAATTTTGTAGATTTGTCTTGTAATATAACTGTTTTTTTCTTTTTCTTCAGTTCCTCTAGGTGTAATAGATGAAAACTTCTACAAGAACATATTTACTGGACCCTCTGGACCCATTCCTCCAGCAGTTCCTAAACAAGATAGAGGTAAGTATAGAAGCTGTTGAAGGTTCAAAGAAAATCATGCCTGTCTTCTCAATGCTAACATTTTATGGTTGAACTGCAGTTATTCTGAAGCTTGCAACTCCAAAAATAAAGAGACTTTTAGTTTGTTTTTTAATTTTCATTGTTTGTCAATTTTGAACTCTTTTAATAGCAATAATTTTTGCCCTCTATGTTTCAGTGGTAAGTCTGAGGGCTTATAATGCTGAAAATAAGGTCTTGATACTTATGATGGGCATATCACTGATAGCCTAGCTTTGTGCTTAACAACGAATAAGTAAGCAATTATTTTTATGTAAAATATAAAAATTGGTTTTATTTAGAGGATAAAATTCAGATTATTTGTGTAAAACCCTTGAATAAAATACTTGCATGATTGGCATTTAAAATACAAAACTTAAAATTTTTATAATAAGACTGTTAATAGTCTTAAAAAAACATCTTTCAATGTTTCAGTCATCCTAAGGAATGTAAAATACAAGACAAATTATTTTTACCTTTACAGTTATTTCTGGCCATCATGTCATTCAGATAAGCCAAAATATCAGTTTTCACCAAATAATGACCAGTAAGGCTTATATGTTTGGCTAAAGAATAATAATATATTTTTTTTTATTTTTAGCATTTCTCTTATGTTTGTGTATTTTTAGTTTTATATTTCTTTCAGGCATACAACTTTGCCAAAAATTTCAGCTTTCGGTTCATATGTGTCCAAATTCTTGTATGTTTCTGGTTTGTCTTATTAAATCTTTCAGCAGTTTAAAAAACAAATCAGTATTTTTCCCTGATTTATAAACTTAAGAATAAAATCACTCAAATATTAGATGTAATAAAAAACAGGTATTTACAAAATTGAATGTGGTTGTTCATACATAAGTGAAACTAAAAGAAATATAACATTTAGAATGAACAAACGTAAGAGAAATGTTAAAGATAATCAAATTAAAAATTCATTGGTTGAAAATATGTTTTACTAGTCATATTATTTGGTTAGAGAAAAACTTATTTTGGTTCAACTGAATCATCTGATAGCTAGAAATAATATAGAATCTAGAGAAATAATGAACACAGTAAAAACAATTATGATATTTTGAATAAGATAAGATAAGACTTGTAGTAGGTCAGAAAGTCAGTAGATGGCATGACCTTCTTTAGGTTCTGTTGTGTGTAAATGATGTAGTAATTGGTCATATGACCAATTCTAAAGGTATAAATGGTTTGTAACTGTGTCTTATATTCTACATTCCTGAGAATCACTTTGGTACTTCAAATATATAGAATGTCTGTTTATTGAGACCATTGTTGGTCTCAGAATAAAGAAATTTTGTATTTTAAAAGTTTGTCAAGAGAGTATTTTAATTACTTTTATTTAGATATTGATTTGTAATGGTTTTCTTCATTTTAGGTAATAAAATGGCAGAAAGAGACAGCTGTAAATCCATTTGCTTGCATTACTTATCATTAAGTTAACTGGATTATGCCAGAGTTCATCATTGTTATTTGTTTTATCAATCATTTAACTTTTAAGTACTGAATAAATTTCATTTATATAATGAATTTCAAGCTTAGTAATTCTTTCTTGGTCAGTGAACAAGTTTCAAGCACACGCCTACGTATCAAATGCCAAAACTTTAAATATAAATAATAATAATTCTTACTCAACAATTTGTCACTCATAAATATTTTACAATTGATATTTTTTTGTTTCGTAACACTTGTTTAGTGTAATCAGGAAAATTTGGTGTTTGTTGTGTTACCAACATTCACCAATTAAGTGTAAGACTTGTATATCTGGGTCTGTTCTCACACTAACGTATATTAGTATAAGAAAAAAAAATCTCATAATTTTATCAAATTATCACATTTCTTTGATGCATTGCAGTTGGTTGACTGGTTAGATCAAGATAAAATTTGGCATCATACTGATCTGGGAAATGCACCATTTTGCTTCACTGAATAAAAAATTTTGTAAGGGAACATGCCCCCCCCCCTCCCAGAAAAAAAAAGCAATTGCCTTCAGTGCTTGCAGCATTTTACCACATGCTGAAATTTTAGTTTTTCAAAAGTTTCACTCAAATATATTCCTAATAGTTGTGATTCCTGTGTTTGACAAACAACAAACAAGATGCTAGAGAGAGAAAAGATTAATTACTGAGGGTAAAGGTGAGCATGCACAGCTTAACAGAATTGGATTAATAGTTTTGGTATTGTTTTGTTTTCATTTTGTTTTTGTTCTTAAAGTTCAGAAACAATGATTGTATAAATGCATTTGTTAACTTCTGTTAGTGTTATTTGATGTAAGTAGTATTAATGTGTGTGTTATAGATGAAAAAGAGAATTATGCAATGCATGTATGAAATTGACACCACCTTTCGATGTACTGTCTTTGAATTATCAAAGTTTAATACGATATATTCAATCTAATAATACGTTTCTGTATTGATCATTTCCAGAATCTCCCCAACTATCACCAGGAACTCTCACCCCAGGTAACACTAGTGGAATGTCAGAAGCAGAAGAAAATGATGAAGGAAACATGTGGAAATGTTCAGAGTGTACTTTCCATAATCACCCTGCACTAGATAAATGTGAAGTGTGTGAGATGCCACGTGTGATTATAGGTAACCATAGCGGGTTTTACTCTTTGCCAGTTCTTGCAGCTCCTTGCTATTGTCACAAAGTTTCTCATCCCAGTTCTCTCTAAATTTTTATATGGTTTACCTCCCCTTCTTAATTCTAGTTCTCTGTTTTACATTTGTTAATTTGGGGGGGGGGGGTGCATCTCTATTGTGACAGTAGCTCTTGTGTGTATGTACCCATATCTTGACCACTTCAGATTGTATACAAGTGAAAGATTGCTCATTTGGCTAGCTTCCTCACCTTTTGATTTATCGTTATTTATACATTATATAGAATATTATTGTGGGAGGTTCCTTTTACTGATGCTGTCTAGACTTTTATGGTTGAAGAATTTGTCAAAAAATATTCATACTGTATTGTATCTTAGTGGTGAGTTTTAGGCTAAATATTAGCACATTTTTAAAGAGTTGTAAAATTACAGAGGGTTTTTTTTTTCTACATCTATTTCAAGAAATTTCTCTTAATATTTTTGTCAAAGTTAATTACTGTAAGATGCTTCATTATGCTAGCTAATGATGGGTAATAATTAGGATAAGTTAAACAATGTTTAATTACATAAGAACTGATGTCTTTTGTAGCTTCTTGAGATAATGGTATTTTGAGTAGATCGTACAAAGCATTACATTATTTAATTCAGAAATATTTCAAAACAGCTTGGCTTTCCAGAAAGCTTTTTTTATGTAAATCTTTATTTTCTACTTTTAATAGTAACAATTTCCACTTAAATTACAGATTCACAACAATATGCTACTTTTTATAATTAAAATAAAAAAAAACAAGCTTCACTTTATCATTGTGTATGCTACTATGTTTAGAAAGATGATTGTTTTTCAGAAAACTTGATAGCAATATAACAACCACATTATCACTCTGGAGGATTGGTTTGAAAGCACGGGTATAGTGAATTATTTAGTGAGAACGATTAAGAAATTTTTGACTTGTTTACTCTCCGTATATGGGCTCTCATTTTGACTGAACTTGCAACAGTTATGTCACCATAAAACTATACATACTTTAACTCAGAATATACTAAGCATACCTTCATGAAATTTGGCGAGCTTTTAATAAATATTATAAGTCCATTATAAACAAAAAATCAGATTTTTTAAAGAAGTACTGTTTACTAAAGATTTGTCTGTGAATTGGCAAAACTTTTACTGAGTGAAAGGTGATTTTCATGCTGAGAATAAAAATACTTCTTTTCATTTTAGTGCTTATATATGTCATTTGCATATCCTATAAAACCTCCTAAATGAATGTCAAAAATTGTTTGCTCTACCATAACACCAACTGCAGCAAAAATTATGAAACAAAATATTGAATAATATGCAATAAAATGATGAATACATTTTTTTCTAGAATGACTGCAGATTAAACAGACAATTACATTTATTTATTCTAACACAGGTTCAGTTTTCTAAACATTTCACATCTGCTTGCAGCAAATTAACTGCAATTAGAGAACTTGGTCGAACAATCAGTCAAGTTACAATCATAAGATGCAGCTAGCTGAAGCTGTCTCGTAGAATTTTTTCATTCACTTTTTTTATCCAACCTAATAAGTTTCTTAATTTTTACATTTAATAACTTATTAAATAATATATTACAATAAATAAAAAATATACATAAAAAACAAAATTTTAGACTTACCTGACATTATGCAATTGACTGGAATAATAAGAATAGTTTATAAACCTTTATGGCATGAATATTGATAAAGAGAGCTCAAAATTGATTATCACCAATATTTTCTAGTGTATTACTTTCAAACCTTACATCACTTAAACTGAATGTGCTTAATTTTTTGCACTTCAAACTGTTAGTGTAGATGAGTGTTTTATGAGGAATTTATAATAATTAAATATTTCTAGCATTCCTATTACTATTATTAAATAAACAACCTGTATCTCCAAGGTATGTTAATTTGTTATTTAATATTTAACTTTAGAACTTCTTCAGAATATTTATGTATTATGAACACTTGTTCATGAATTAGAATAGTAGATTACAGTTTGAAATGAATGAACAATTTTCTCTTGTGTGAGTGGCTCAGATTTCTTCAGCACTTAAATCATACAGCTAAGAAAACCTGGTGTACAGATATTCAAATTAATGTTAATTGACTTGCAATTAAAATTTAATATATATGCATAGCAAAAATTCATGACTTACATTCCTTGAAAATCTAAATTATTATAGAATAGCAAAAAATGGTTTATACATTCCTTATTACAAATATAAAAAGCTTTTTATTTTCCAAAGCTAGGCTTAATTTTCCTATGATTATTTAAAGTTTTTGATTATTATACTTTAACACATTTTTTATTGCTTCCTACTAAATTTCAGCTGTATGGTAAATGTAATGATTCTAAAGAATGGTGTAAAGTAGTTTCATCATCTGGCTATATTTGGCTTGTATTTGATTAAGGTAGATCTCTCCAACCCTTTTGCTTGTTCTTGTTAAGTAACTAACAACTAAGGGAACAATATATTGTGAAATTACACAGCACCTGCATGTACATTACATTTAATTAGAGTTGCATTAAAAACAATTAATAAAAGACAGTTGATCATAATAAGGCTGTCAAAATTTTAGTAGTGGTTAAATTATTAGTTCTTTGAAAGCTTTTTTTTTATTATTATATAGTTAGTTTTAGCAGAGAACTTTGAAAAGTAAGTTTAAACTGCTTACTTTCAGTTTTAGGACAATTATCAGGAATATTTGAAAACTTAATTTGTCAACTGAAAAAAAAATTTTTATTAAGTGTAAAGAAATTAAGAATACATTTTATGCTTACTTTTATGTTTCTTCTTTGGAATTTACTTTTCAATATCTCTTGTTTATATGAACGTGTACTCCAAAATATTTGATTTGGTTTAAACAAAATCAGTTTTTTATTCTAATTCAAAGTGATTGCTAATTGTGGTTTTCAGTTATTGCAATAACTGAAATGTAGTAGCTCTCATACGAACCCATCGTGTGGACATTTGTTGAACATGTTCCTCTTTTCCTCTGCAGTCTTAGTTATTTCATTGCGAACCCATTGTGTATACATTTGTTGAACACATTCCTCTTTTGCTGATTAATAATATGAATAAGTTAACGGATATATACTCTAAAGGCCCGGCATTGCCAGGTAGTTATTGCACTCGACTCTCAATCTGAGGATCGCGGGTTCAAATCCCCGTCCCACCAAACATGCTCGCCCTTTCAGCCGTGGGGGCATTATAATGTGGCGGTCAATTCCGCTATCCGTTGGTAAAAGAGTAGCCCAAGAGTTCGTGGTGGGTGGTGATGACTAGCTGCCTTCCCTCTAGTCTTACACTACTAAATTAGGGACAGCTATTGCAGATAACCCTCATGTAGCTTTGTGTGAAATTCAAAACAAACAAACAAACAAAATATGCTGGAAGCTTTTTATGATACTTTATTGAAAAGGAAAACTTTTAATAAACAATATCATGAGAAAAAAATCTTGTTCCGGCAACAAATTAGTTAGCATGAACATTCAAATAGATTTTTGTAGAGTCAGTTTACATGAAACTTTTCCACATCCTGACACTCAACCACAACAAGGTGCATTCTGTAATGTATTAGTTATCATGAACATTCATATAGTTGGTTGTGGAATCTGTTCATGTGAAACCTTTCCTCATCCTGACATTCAACCTTAACAATGTGCAATGCACAATTGATCTTCTGCAAACAGAAATAATAATTAAAACAACCAGCAAATGTTACTGTGTACTGAAAGTTTGTATCAGAATGTTGTGCATTTTGTTAGATTTATTCCCTGTGTTTGTATACTGAATGCTAGAATTGTTTAATTACAAGTATACTTTACTTAATTTTGTATCGTAGAATTGAAATCATGAATATTATGCCTTAACAAGTATATAATTTTCTGAGAATACTACAGAATGTATGAAATGGTACTTATCTGTCTCTGCAGTAATAGTAGTTTTAAAAATTTGAATTTGATATTTCTTATTCTCATTTACTTTAGTTAAGTCAGAAATAAAAGATTATCCCATGAATTTAATCATAAACCCTGCAATTTGTATATTGGTTATGTAAATTATGTATTACTTCTATATCATTGCTTAGTAGTCCACTTTTACGAAGGATTATAATCTGCAGAACACAGCTAGACCATAGGAGAAGTCTTGTGGATTCTTAAAAATGGATACCACAGTGGTTATAAATTTAAGTTTTCTTGATTATTACTTAAAGTCAGAAGTTTGTTTCATGCTTCTTTAAGTTCACAATAATGTATATAAAAGCAGACTTTGTATGAATATACATTGAATGTTTATTAATAGTTGTAAAGAGTTTTTGTGTAACTGTTTATTTTTACTTTGTTTTTTTGCCTACTGATGAGATGACAACAATAGTAAGTACAGTGCTTGTTTATGCTATGTACAGTTAAAATGGCACACTGTTTGATATCAAAAGTGATTGCTTTGAAGTTTGAATTTTGTACAGTAATTAACTTTTTCTGGTTATAAGTAGTGTTTGTTGTACTTATCCCCCTCTGAGGTTATTAAAAGCCTGTACCTCCTAATTGAAAGCAGTCAAAAATACAAAAAGTATGTGTTGTGTTATTTTTGTTAGAGTTATATTTATTGTCTTTGGGAATTTTACCATTATACATGTGAGTTATAATTTTTTATATACTTTTTTTTATTTATTTCTCCATTTTATTTAACCCTAAAGGTCAACCACTGTACTACAGCCACTGTGATATGGGGGGTGGGCCTGGCCCTCGACAGGGAGTGGGCCATGTGCAGATCCATATAAGACAAAATCCTTCCCCAAACCAGAACTCTGCGGGCAAAAGTTTGGAGTTACGTTTCACTCACAGATTAGGAGTTATACGTAGATAGCATTTGGTGGTTCAGCATAGCAGATACAGACAGCTTGGCTTTGCAGTGTTAATGGTGTCTCTCATAGGAGTTGCAGCACCCTCGTAAACCATTGAATCAGTCTTCCATTTGAAATAAGTAATTAAAGATAAGAAAGTAAATTATTCTGATTTTATGTTCATTATTGACTGAATAAGAAAAATCGGTGAACTCGGGCTGTGAAGCCATTTTCCCAGTGAGCACTAGTCATAGACTTTTTCTTTTAGGGAGAGCAGTCTGTGTACACTCAGCGAAGGAGAATAATTGTGTGATAGTCTGATGATATTGATACATTTCCTACTCTCTCTCTCTCTTTTTATAGGAAATGGTAAAAGCTGAATAAAGTTTTGTAACATAACAGACCACAAAAGAATATATAGACTTTTAAGCAAAGTTTTCATGTTCAAGAACAAGTTCTCTGTACAGATGACTAACACCAAACAACCAACAACTACATCATCAAGTGAGTTTATCCACAAAAGTTATGCACCTGTAAGAAGGAAATTCATGTACAATAGCCATATAAAGTTTGGTGAGCAAAATAAATTGAAAGGGCTTGGCCACCTGGACTGTTACCAGTATTTTAGTGTATAGTTATTCATATGATTAGTGAAATATGTCCATAAAGATCCTATTAAGGTGCTCATCAAATAAACTTTCAAAATCTGCGTGATGCAAGTAGTTTTCCAATGTGGGCTATATATATCCACTTCCAAAGTAGGAATTGCAGTAAAATAATTCACATAGAAAGTTGGTGTTTTGTCTAGAAAAAATAGATGCATTTATTGAAACAGTTTTGTACTAGCTGAAATGCAGAAATTACTCCATAAAAGAAAAACTCCAAGAGTAAGGGAAAACAAAGCTAGAAGAATGTAGAAGTTGACTGACTGTATTGCAGAATGTAATTAGTGACATCAGCTTATATAATCAACTTGGTTTAATGAGTCTTCCTTCCTTATTGAAAGCAAAGAAAATAAAACGAGAACTTCTAAAAAAAACAACAATATCTCAATAATAACAACCTGAAGATTCAGAGGACTACTCAAGAAAAGAATTTATGAGAACTGTTCACAAAGAACAAATCAGAATGGGAAATAAATTTAAAAGTTGATCAGTTCTAGCTAATGAGAAGTCACATCCAAAATAAGCAGCAATAGAATTTTTAAACAAATTTCTAAAATAATGTTTTTGTTGACAACAGAAATGTAATGTTACCAGCTCTATCAAACAGTATAAATTACCACTAGGAAAGGAATGGGCACTGTTGTTATGCAAATGTATCTAACAGAAAGGGGAAACTACAGTATTACAGTAAGTGAAAAATCTTCAAACATATAGATAAGAGAAACCCAAACCTTTGCTTGTAATGAGAAGCCTGATATATAATATAACATAGACATACCTCTAGAATAATCAGTTGGCACCTGGTACACAGTTTTCACAAGTAGAAAGAAGCCTGCAGTGACTGGATGTACAATACATAACAAATATAGACAAGATGACCATCTGCTGGCACACAATACATTCTAGTAGTAAAGATCCTTAAGTGATACTGGATGTGTAATACAACATGGAATTAAACGAGATAGACGTCAGCTGGTACTCATCATTTACAGGTACTGTAGTAAGGATCCTGAAGTTGTGTTGGTTGTTCTGTATATCAGAATGTAGACAACATAGTTGCTAACATACAGTATGTCTGTATAGTGATAATTCCGTATAAGTATGGCATTGTGATTATTGCATGTGCAGAAGGACATGTATCTCACATGCCTTTGTAAACCCCTTTGTCTTTGTACAAACCTGGCAAGGAACTTGAAGTGTTCAGTATAGAGAAAATTGTTGCTTACTGGAAATTTCAATTAAATAAATTAGTTTGTTATCTTCAGAAGTAATAATTTTATAGCTTGTGGTGCTTCTGTCTTATCAGTAGGTATTTCAGAAGTGCTAAGAAATTGCATGGTGAACTTGATGTATTTTGTACTTATTTATTCTCTACTAAATTTTAGTATTTATAAAAGAACTAACCAACAAGCCATTTATTTAATTCTAGGAAGGGTTTGGGATGAAGTACTCTCTAATATAATTTCATGTATAAATATTTTCATGAAATATGACACACAGATAATAGGGATATAGGAAAATGTTTGTTATATTGTGAAGAAATCTGAACTACAAATGCATGAATTATTGCAACCTAAAATGCAGTGTAGTTTTGTGTGATTCAGCTTGTGATCATGAGTAAGATAATATAACCTTATGGTTTTTGGTAAATTCAGTTGTATCTCATAAAGTTGTACCTATTTTAAAATCATGTGCTTGGAATGATTTTTTAACACAAATCCCTCACTCCTCAACTCCCTCTGGCAGACTTGTTATAATAGACAGATTGCACAGGGTAAAATATGGCAAGATATATTTGTGTTAAAACTTGGTTGTCTGACCTCCTGAGTTGATAATCTTGTTACTGAAAAGAAACATTTTATTAGGCATCCCAACAATGAATGTCTACAGTGTAAATATGTACTGTTGTGATAGATAACAAGCTTATCCCACATTTTAAGCTTTTTCCATGAAACATTATTATAATGTTATTTCACCAAAGCACTTATCAGTAATATGTAGGCAGTGTTTAATCTGCTTCTCTAGGATTTCTCTCAAGCACATGTTGTTTTAACCAACAATCTTTGCAGTTATGCAGGATGAGAAGTGGTAGATATCCACCGTTACTATTATCAAAATTGGCCATCCACCCAGTTTACTGAAATCAGATGAGGAAAATTCTTTGGCTGAAGAAAAAAGTACTAATACTAGTTGTAAAAACATAGATTGCAGCATTTGCTTTTATGTTAATGCAAAACTGAAATTGATATTTGAGGCTTCTTTTAACTGGCTGATCATGTGACAGCCAACCAATTACAAAACTTCTTTGGAAGTCAGAGTTATATAAACACCTTGAAAATGTACAAACTCCTTAGAGTGCAATCGTGGACAATTGAAAAAGATAAGCATAGGGGTAAGCTTTAAATCTTTTGCCATCCACCAAAATGGGGAATTGTTTTTGCCCATTTGTTTAGAATTACTAGAATGGACATTTTACTTTTTATGTGTGAAATCATTTATTTGTAGCCTAAGTTGAACAGAGACATGATCCGATGAAATTATTTTCAGTCAAAAACTATTTGTTAGAAATGAAAACATTACAGATTCCAAAATTCTTTTTAATCTCATAAATTATTCTATACATGGGGAAGGGTGAAACCAGTGTCTTACTGAACTAAAGCATTATATGCTATTACATTAACGTGTCCCTTTATTAGCCAAAATGTACTAAAAAAATGGTTGTCATAGTGCATGCAAATTTTATCATGGTCTAGTATGGTAGACAGAGGTTTACACAAGAACATAAGTAATATTCCATATCTTTCTTTTAAAAGACTCAATTTGTAATTGATTGATCAGTAATTTGCCCTAGTAGAAACTGATTTGCACAGGCGTTTCCTCAATATTTCATGAAATGACTAGTTTTTACATCACGGGTCTAATAATTGCAATTATAAACACTTGTATGTAATATCTATCTAAATATTTCATGAAATGGTCAGTTTGTATGTTAGCTAGTCTGTAATTTTGATCATTGGAATGCAAGTTAAGATGGCAAAAATTGGCAAAAGCCCAGTATTTACTGATCATCCTAACAGTAAGTAGGGTGAATAATGCTTCAAATTGACCTACAATGCACCAGAAAGCACATAAACCCTTGGATTTTATGGGCTTGAACCCAGGACCACACAAAAGTTTAATTTGCTGTTCTCATCCCTGAATTATACTGATTTTGGACATAAGCATTGTGCCTAGCTGGTTGACATCTTTTACACTAATTGATGATAGTAAATACTATAATTGACTGAATTACCTTAAAACTTATGTTTTTATTGTTTCTATAAGAACAACTTCAGATTGTTACCTATACTGTGTTCTTTTTTCACAGATTTTTCTGAGATTTTTTTTCTACAACTAGTTGCTCCAAATGTTTATTCAAAATCCATCACAAATAAATGCTTTTATAGTTTATTAATTCTCAAATAACCAATTTGTCTTATCCCATTCACTGTTTATGAGGCTTACATGTTTGATCATATTTGGAGTTTTTTGCTTTTACCTATTATATCACTCAGTGAAAAAGAACTAATCAAAAGTATTGGATGAAATCACTCATTTTGCATCTAAAATACATAAATCACCTTAACAGTAATTACTGGGATTAACTGCAGTATTGATGGTAATTTTAATGCTTAAGTTTTTTGTGTGACTAATATGTCTTGGAGATCCTGTAATTGACAAAGTTATTGACACTCGAGCAACTTAATGCATTAATTGTTTTGAAAAATGTGTTTAAAAAAGCTAGTATGTGCCATGGACACCATCGGTAATTCTAGAGTTAATAAGCAGTAAATGTTTATATTTTTTGCCATCATCATTGGTGTTGTCTTTAGTGTGTTACTAGTGTATACGTGTTCCAAGAATTTCTTCTTTTCTTTTTTCTCTCAATACCTGTTGCACATGTTGTAGGACCAAATGTAGTCTCTAGTAGTTAGCGTACTGGACTGTGGTTTGTATCCTGTTACTGATAGCTCGTGTTATGCATTTTAGGGCTATGGGTGCATTATAAGAGAGACAATCAAATTCCATTTAATTTGGGTAGCCCGAGAGTTTGTAATGTATGATGTTGACTTGTTGCCTTCCCTCTAACCTATCAGTTTTAAAATTAGGAATGGCTAGAGCATATAGCCCTTATGAAACTGTGGGGATATACCAAATAAACAAGCCAACAATTTGTTGTCACATTTTCCCAAAATTAGTCTTAACATTTTTTTTTCTATTTTTTTGCTTATTAGTTTAGGAGTGTTTTTGGGTTTTGATGCATGCATGCAGTTCTGATTTATCTAACAAAGTGCTTATGTTCAAATTACTATTAAAGCTGGTGTTTTTATTAACTTTGAGTGTGGATATTATCTTTTAATCTTATAAAAAAAACTAGTTTTTTACATATTGTGTATAACTACTGTGTAAATTTTAAGAAATTAAATCTTGATTCATAATTTTAATAACACTTTTAATTTTGTCTGGTACTACATTATAAATTAAAATGTTAGTGGGTTCTGTAATACTAATTTCAGAAATGTGTATATTTGAAAGTGTATATAAATTACCTGTTGTTCAGATAGCCACTTGTTAAAGCAATGTGATTTTTCTTTTCCAGAATAACTACATGCCAAGTAAAATTAACAGTGTGGAAAAGATTTTCTTGGAGAATATCTGTGCTATTTTGCTTTTGAGATACAGCAGTAAAAACAACTAGGTCATGTTTCATTTCCAGATGAAGATGGAAAAAGAATTTGTGTATGAACACTAGTGAATGTCACTTTACTTGGAATAAACAAAAACTGTAAATGCAAATTTTATATAAATGTGGTAATTTTTACTCTTGAACTAATACAGAAAGTTCTTTGGATGTAGAGCTCTATTTCTATAACCATGGGTGTATGCATGATAATAATATTCTTAGAAAAATATTTTATATTATTTTTATGTAATGTGTTTTTATTATTTTAAAATTTCAACCAGAAAAATCAAAGTTTACTTGGAGTAGTTTTCTTAGGGATCTTACTTTGTTGTCTCATTGCTTCAGGTTCTTCACAAAATAGGCTGGTTACGAATATAGAATTTCAGTAGATGTTTTACACCATAGTTTTTATTTTAGTAACTTTTAAACGATAGTTGCACCAATGTAATTTTAGTTTTTTTTTTGTTTTTTTTTCAACCCTAACTTCTAGAACTTGAAAGTTAATTTTAGATGCAGAAAATATATATATATATATAAAAGCTGATATTAGAAATATATTATTTAAATTGAAATGTTTGAGTTAAACATTTTAATTGTGATATGTTTGTAGCTGTGTAATCATGTTTGTACCATGTAATTTTTGATCCAAAGTTTATCTTAAGATTGGTCTGCATTAGGTGATGAAAGGTGTTGTACTTAAAAAGTAGTAATTTATGAAAGTAAGGAAGTGATGTTTGGCTTGTTTAATAACTTCTTTTTAAATAATACATTTTGTACAATAAATTCACTGTGCAACTTCATCATAACCACAAAGTGCCCCTTATTTTCGGAGAATTAAAAATTGATTAGCTCTTCAATTGAGAATGAATAGTTTACTTTAATTTGTTGATATTTTCAAAAATTGTGTTGTCGAAAGTTCTAAAACTGGCATGAGCTTGTGCAGAAAAGGAAAACATTGTTATAGAGAAAGACTGATTAAACTTGATAAGAATTTTAAGAAACAGAGTATTTAGTAAACATTTCATGTAACATACAAGTTGTAAAGAAGAATGTAAACATTTTTATAAAAGTGTAATTAGATATATTATTTGTGAAGTTTTGATTAGAACGTGCAAAATGCATGTGTAAATAGCATTAACTTACAGGAAGTACTGAAGAAAAAATTAATGTAAAAATGTATTAATGCAACGTACTTCAATGAGAATTGTATTTTAAAGCCTTAGACATTTGTATATGTGTGTAAATGCAAAATATGTTGAACTAAAATAGGAGAAAAATTACCTTTTTTGCAGAAATTATGGGTAATATGCATTGTTAAAGGAAATAATTACAGCTGTTGCTGAGTCACATGAAAAATTGTATGTAATTTATGTATACGTAGTATATAACTGCATGATATGTGTAGGAGACAGTGAACATACAGGTAGTTGTTAGCAAGACATGATAATAGAAGTGGTTGGAAATATTAATCTTGTGAATTCTTGAACCCTTTATGATGGCACTTTTGACTACTATTCTTCATTATACTTACTTAAAAAACCTCTACATTGTACAATGAGAGAGTTTTCTTTAAAACTCGTTTGACAGATGTTCCAATAATGCTAATGTTCCATTGTAACATTTCCATTTTCTATGAGCATCTGTAAATAGTATTTCTCTGGTTATTGTACTGTCATATATCTGGGTTAAGGAACATGAAAGTTGAACAAATATTATTAACAAATGGCCACAGAGAAGCTCCACACTGTTTGTGTTTTACCCTTAGCAAAATGTTTAGAATCAGACAATTTGTTCAAAAAAATGGGATACAAACTTCATAATATCGTGAATTTAATGTCTTAGTTCTTGTCACTTGTTTTGTTTTCCTAGTGCAGTAGGATTCTGAAACAACCATAAATCCAACTAAGAATCTTTCTTTCCATTCAATAACTTGTTTTAATAATCTTCTGGGCAAACGTAGTTGTAGAGGGCTCTGTTTTACTATTATGTAGGTGTGTTTTCTCTAGTATTACAGAAGACTTTCATCTTCCTTTTGTCCAATACCTGTTAGTCGTTCTGTCTGAATTATATTTAATGAAGAGCTCGGGCCACGTAAGTGTAAGTCCTTTGTGATATGTGTTATTTTGTATGAGTACAATTCATTAGAAGTAGTGATATATCCTTCCTATTGACTTCTAGTTCTAGAAGGGGTTTAACATACACTTTTTGACATATCCTAGCTGACCAGTAGCTCCTTGAGTCATGAAGAACTTGCATAGTTGTTGTAGTCTGTGAACATATGTTTGTATGAAATAGTAACGTGTACTTTCAAACTATGAATATGTGAAAGTAGCTTTGAAATTGTAAAACGTGCATAAAAAATTTGTGTAAATTTAGTAGAAAATGCAAATCTTTATATGTAGGATTGAGATGTATGAAGGACATTTTTGATTATTAAAGTACAAAAATGTGACAAGTGTTCTTTATATTAATAAAACATTTTTCACAAGTGTTAAGCTTCAAATTAATTTATCTTCTGTATAGTTAGTATTTTGTTTGTTGTAACATTATTAGGACATGACACAAAGTGTAGTCAGAACTGTCGTAACATCTGAAACAACAAGAATATTTTAATGTGAAGCAGGTCAAGCAGAAATACAACTGTGTTTTAAACATTTGTATTTAGCAGTTATTGTTTGAACTCCTTAGGTAGTATATAATTAACATCAAATATGATTTGTTGGCTTAAATTTATTGTGCTTCATATCTTTTTTGCAGGTGTAGCTTTAAAAGGAATGTATATATATTGTAGGAAACTTGTGACTATCGAAAACTATGAAATGTTACATATTATTGTTCCATAACTGACCAGAAGATGAAATTACAAGTATTTTTCAATACCTTAATCTTTCATATATACACTATACACTTTTAAGTTCAACTAGAGGTGTAAAGATGGAACAATTGTGATTAATTTAAATCATTTCCATAAAAAAAAAATCTAGCTGGAAAAGTGTACTTACGAGATTCATTACCATAGGATGTAGAAATGAAAGGCTTTTAGTGATTGTTGATATTTTGTGAAAGAACACAAAAAATGTTTGTTAATTACATTGTGCTAGGCAATTGAACCATACAAATATATATATATGTTTTGTTTTTTAATTTCTGTGATTATGTCTGATCCAGTATATGATAATTTGTGAGATATTGTTTCACATATTGAACAGAAACTAGAATTTTCCTTATTTATAAATAACTGCTTTTCTGTAATTCTATAAAACTCAATATGCATCTTAATAAATATTGAATTTGGGGCCAAAATAATTTAGAGAATGCAGTACTAATAAAGAAAATATAGCTTTGATATTGCAGTTCAACAATATCATTGGAGTTTCCCCTGTTTGAGTTCCTAAAGCCAGGTTATTGCGTTCTTTCTAATTTCAATGAAACTGTACAATAAGAAATGCTGTTAAAAACTGGCTATCTTTTAATTGCTAAATCCACATTTAAAAATGCATAAAGAGGTCTTGTCATAAATGGGTGTTTGCCCTTTTACAGTTGGTAACTTTTAACTGAAAATACAGTTGTAAGTTATCAGTTTTATTGTTTTATTTGAAACTCCTTAAAAATTCCACTCATAGTAGCTCTATTGAAATTAGGTTTCTGTATACTTATGAACAGAACATGGTTAAAAGATTTGTGGCTGTTGAGATAACACCAAGCAGATTAAACAATTGTATAGCTACTATGATCGCTCAGTTATTTCTTGCTCAACATAATGATGTTATTTATCAGGGATAATGAAAATGTGAAGATTTAAAATTTGGTCTAGAAGCAGCACATTAATTACTGAAAGTTAGTAAAAGAAGGTATTGTCCACTGAGGGTAGTCTTAATAGAATTATCATTTATAATGCCTAATGATAATGTATTTTAAAATCGAACAATAGGCTACATTGTGTCTTCTAGTACTGTATAGTAGTCTCTTAAACAGTTTAATCTACAAGTCTCTCTTCCCCTGTCTTATGATACTTCTGTTTTCATTTAAAATAATTCGGTACATTAGCAGAGTATGTGTTGTTTGAATATTTTTAAAAATCTTGTACCTTTATAAGAAAGGTTTTGTTAAATGGGAACTTTGCTAAAGCTTGTTAGTGGTGGAACTAAGTCAAAACTACTCATTTTGTTGGTGGCTGACTATCTTGTTCTTTGTAATATATATATATATTAAGATGACGATAGATACGATGTCTTATGACAGAACTGGGAAGGGATATTTCTTTGTGAATGATGATTTCCATGTAAATTTGTTACATTTTGTAGAATAATTGTATCATAAAAGATTGAAATGTACCAGTGGAGCCAACATCTTGGATAAGAAGTTCCAGTCTATAGTGACTGTTTTGTTTGCTTCTGAAATATATGAATTGAACTTGTATTTATATAATCGAACAAGATGTAATAATTGAAAAATGTATAACTGTGTATGCATTATTCAGAATAAATGCTTGAATAATTTTCAGATGAATGTATATTAAATATTTTAAACAGACTGCATTTAAAACATTACTAAAATATTGAAAAAATTTAATACAATTGATTTTAAACATTAAATTTAAAATACTAAGCAAATAATATCCATTAAAAAGCTGTACAATAGTTATATATATCTCGTTTATGTAATTGTTTGTTGAATGTATATATGTCATGAATCATTTATTCTTTCAGTAAAAACTTGATTTATTAGAAGAAATACAAAAAGTAATGACACATACTTCATTACTTGGCAGTATGGCCATCTACAATTTACTTTTCTAGGAACTGAAATAGATTATCTGCTACTAAAATTCCAAATAAGCTTAGATAACCTCCACTTTATTCCTTGAATTAAAACGTAACAGAACAGTAAATCTCGTCATTTCTTGCATGCTTTGACAATTTCTTGATTTTTTCTATTACTATGAAGTATAGTCTTTACTTAACAATTACTCTTGGAGCTTTTATAGCATTGTTTTGGATAAAATTATTCCTCCTTTAAATAAAAATTGTGTTTTTCTAAATATTGATGTAAATTGAAATACTTTTTGAGGTTAACTGAATTTTATAAGAAGGTTCTAGATCCCTTGCTGCCTTGGAAATTTTTATTACATTTATTGTATGTCATTTTGTGCATCATTACCCAACACCACCATTTCCATTTTAACAAAAATTTTTGAAGGATAATGAGACCAGGTCTTGATAGTCTTTCACAGACAATCCAATGTACATGGACATTGGCTTCGAAAACTTTATTCAAAAAGATCAGAGGCACCAAAGCCCATTAGAGCTACATCTGGGAGGCTTGACAGGTATGAAGTCAAATGGGGTTTCTGTGACGATTCCTGTTTCTTCGATCATTTTTCTCACAAAAACAACAATTGGTTTGAAATGTGTGGCTGGAAGCTTGCAAGTCTTCCTAACCTCAAATCCTTGTTTAATATCTTCTTAATGATGCCAGGAATATGTCCACCTTCTTTGCAGTAGCTTTTTAGGTTAGAGGGTTCGTTTTCATAACACTAGCTTTGCAGATGAAGCCATTACCCCAGATTGGCAAAGATGTGTTTTTGGAGCCTATTGCTGGTTTAAGCATACTGCTGTATCAGTTTTTTCTGAAACAATAGAGAATTATGTATGCTCTCTACTACCAAATTGTGTCCTTTAGCTCTATAACATTTACTAACCTCACAATACAAATATTGTTCCTCAGAAAGAGGGGTCGTATGTTCCTTGGGCTACAAGTCTGTTCCTTTGTTATTGTTGAATGGCCAGGAATTTTTTTCAATCAAATTTATAAACATATCGTTTGTGGTACTAAATCGTGCACGGGGCCCTGCTTTTTCGGCTTTTATTTTCCCGGAATCTATCGCTGTATATTACTACAAAAACAGATGTAAATCGGCGCAAAAAACAAAACAACATTTCTGAGTAAATTTCGAGGTTTATTTTGGTGAACGGAAAAAAGTATTCAGTATATTAATGCTTTGATAAATGGAATTCAAAGTGGTTCGCTGCAGAATTAAAACAGAACTCGATGCCATCTCTGAGTTTAAGAAAAAATAAACCGTTAATCTGCTAACAGACTGAAATGTACACAACAGGCAGCTGTGCATATACACATGACTAATATATTATCTCATGCGATTGATTGTATTTTTCTAATAAAACAAGTTATTTTTTATATATTTGAATGAAAAGGAGGGTGAAAATACAAACCAATCATACATTTTTGGAAAACCTGGGAGTTTTCCGGTAAAAATCAATTTAAAATGAAAACGCAAGTGCACGAAATCTCGTGCATCAGCAACATCATGCCACTATATTAGTATGTTAAAATCATCCATCAAAAATGCTATTAACTAGTTGTAACGCTCAATACTAATCACAAAGTCTAACTTATAAATATTTATGTGACATAATAAACTATTTTTTTTACATTTTCTATTTCTTTTTTTACATAAAATCCTGCGTTTGCACTACTGTCTATTGCAGTAATAATGTAATATACACAAATACATTTATTTTAGTACGCTACGATTGGATTAATGTATTGTTACGTCTCTGTTAGTTTGTTAATTTCCGGTATAAATTCTTTCCGAGGAACTTCAGCGATACATGTCCTTTCTAAAATAAAACTAGTTTATTCTTTCTTGATACAACTTTGCAATACAGAGAATTTCCACAGTCACTTTAACTTTACTTTTATAAACACACGCTATAATTCACAGCGATTCACACACTTTACTTAAGGTGCCTACTGTTGGCTCGACTCAATTATCTACACAGCGTGGTCACAAGTAAATGGACACCACCTTTTTTAGAA